TCTGTTTCTTCTTCACCTTTTTCCACGTAACTTCCTTCTCCTGCCAACCTATCACAAGACTCAGACCTTCAGGGCCGTTGCCTCTAGCTGTGCATTTGTGCAAAGAGGTGCCCAGCAGACGGGGCAAGTAAGGGCTAAAGCTTAGCCTGTGCTAACCAGTCTTGCCTGGATGAGGACCAGGTCAGCCCAGAAGAAGGAGAGCCTGTTTCTAATTAGCACAAAGCCCTGTATATTGTAGCTGTGGCCTTGCAGATCTGGGCTCTGTGCTATTTGCTCTTCTTCACTCCCTCAACTGTGTGCTGACTTGCACATCATTAGTGGTGGCCTCCATATTAAGGCCATAACACTTATAACTCTAGCCCTGACCACTCCTTCAAGTCCTTTATTTCCCAATGTCTAAAGGCTACCTTCCTAAGGATGTCCCAATGTGACCACATACTCAGCATAACTGAAATTAAATCCATGTTCACACTTCCTAACCGTGACCCCAACTACAATTTCCAACTGCACAACAATTTTCCTATTCTGCTATGTTGTTGCTGTTGTTGTTAGGTGCTGTCAAGCTGGTTCCGACTCACAGTGACCCTGTGTACAACAGAAGGAAACACTGCTTGGTCCTGCACCATCCTCACAATTGTTGCTATGCTTGAGCCCATGGTTACAGCCGCTGTGTCAATCCATCTTACTGATGATCATCTTCTCTTTTGCTTACCCTCTACTTTACCAAGCATGATGTCCTTCCCCAGGGCCTAGTCCCTTCTGATAACATGTCCAAAGTATGTGAGACAAAGTCTCACCACTCTCACTTCTAAGGAGCATTCTGGCTGTATTTCTTCCAAGACAGAGTTGTTCGTTCTTCTGGCAGTCAACGGTATATTCAATATTCTTCATGAACACCATAATTCAAAGGCATCAGTTCTTCTTTGGTCTTCCTTATTCATTGTTCAGCTCTTGCATGCGTATGAGGTGACTGAAAATACCATGACTTAGGTCAGGCGCACCTTAGTCCTCAAAGTGACATCTTTGCTTTTTAACACTTTAAAGAGGTCTTTTGCAATAGATTTGCCAGATGCAATAC